GGTACAAGATATCATTGGAAAAGCCAGTCAATGTTGATATCAGTCAGATCCTGATGAAATGAGCCCGCACTTCCAGCAGACAATCCTCCAGGAATGGCCCCTATTGACACACTGGTAATGAGATGGAAATGTATTTATTGCTACTGGGGGCCGGGGTGGGCGAGTGCTGCCAGCTCGGGGTGGCCACCACAGCCACTCCCATGTCCAGGGCACCCAGACCAGCCAAGGTCTTCTTTAATATTTGTAAAGCTACTGAGGTCTTAATACTTGAAATGATACTGTGGGTCAGCCTGGATAATGAAAGTGTCACCTGCTGCTTATCAGGGAAGGTGACATGTTTCAGTTGGGATATATATATATATCTATTTCCAAAGTGTTTCCAGGAACAATAGAGCAACATTTGTTCCAAAAGCAAGTTCCTAATATCTCTACCTTAAAAATGTGATACTTAGCAAGCAAACTGAAAAATAAATAATACTTTTTCTGTGAAGTTTCTGCTTGCTGGCTGCAGAGTCTGAGATGCAAATGGGGAATGAGGTTCAGGGAATAAGTCAACACTTTAGGAAATAATGATGATAATAAAAATAAAATAAAACATAAGACCTAAGATATAAAACATAAACCACTACAATGACAACAACAACAACAATAATAATAGTAATAATAATAACAATAATGATAATAATAATAAAATAGTAGTGCACTTTTGCAGGATTGGGGTACAATATTTTAATCAGGTCTTCTCTAAACAAATCTGAAGTGTCCCATTGAAGGATCTGTCCTAATGAGGTTCCCTGCGAGTTTCCAAATCACCTCCTGCCTTGGCTTCCTGAGCAGGTCAGTGAATTAAAGGCCTATGGAAAAGCAGGAGTGTCCCATTGCCTGCACAGCCCTATGGTCAGTGTAACCTGTGTAATTGTTACAGTGCCAGAGCCTGTCCTTCCAAGCTTTCCAGAAACCTCCTATTTGCCTCAAATCCCGAAATGTTAATTTTCATCTCTGATTAAGCTGAAGACCAGTCGAGGCTCCTTTTATTAAGTCAGGCAGAGTCCTACCTGCTTCCCGAGGGCTAAATTTGGCTGGGAAAGCCACTGTAATATTGTGTAATTAATTTGCCAGTCAAATAATTTCTGCGGGGCTCTAATTTACTTATCTGTCTGCAACCCTAATGAATCCCCCAGCTCAGTACTTTAATCATGTTTTCTGCCTTTTTATCTCTCTTTTTTACCTCTAACTTTCCTAATTATTTACTATGGGCTGATCTGTAACCTATATTTTTGGCATGTTTTCGTTCTCACACCAAAGCCCAGCCAAACACTTGGCTCTGCAGGTCTCCTTCATGACTGGGAACTGCTGAAAGCCTTCCTTGCTTTGTTCCTCAATTTCTCCACAACAAACAAGGGAGTTCAGTCAATAAAAATCAAAGATGTAGAAATCCAGGAGAAAAAGACATTTGTATTTGGAGGACTTAAGATGGTTAACTTCATTCCAGCTTGGTGAAACTCTATGTGCAGAGCTTCCTAAAGCTTATTCCGAGCACTATATTCCCTGATTAATGCCAGTAGTAGTTATGCTTCAAAAAATGTGTGGATATGACACTTGAGGACATCTTTTAGTGGAGAACATGGTGGTGCTGTGCTGACATTTGGACTTGATGATCTCCAAGGTCTTTTCCAACCTTAACAATTCTGTGATTCCAATAAAGGTAACATTTACAATTTTTGTTGTTTCTCTGCAAACCCCAACTCTGTCCTAGTTGGTTTTTTGGTTTTTTTGTTTTTTTTTTCTTCTAATACATTAATGATTTTAAACGGTTTGGTAAGTGGCATATTTATGCAGTGTTTATGTGGTATTTATCTAGTATTTATGTACCTGCAGAGACCCGCAGGTCTGTCACTGCACAGGCAGGGAGCACCTATGGCTGGGCTGGATCCACAGCACAATCCTCTTCACCTGCTCGTGTTACACCCCCAGGCTTTGCTGCTCTATTCTTTTGAATGGGAGTGTTGGTTTTAAGGAGGAATTTCGAGTGCAAACATTCAGTCCTGGGAACAAGTGCAGTGGTAGGCAGATGTACCAGAAGGATCGCAGCCATGCCTATGTGTCTGTTCAGAATCCCGCTGTGATCCCTGTTCCCATGCAGTCCGGGGAGCTTTGGAAGGGAGCTCTTGCCAGGCAGGACTAGAGAACTCCGTGAGGGTGGAGAGAAGTTGCTGTGGGAAATACCAAGTGAGTTTACGTGAGTGTCTGACAAGGATTGACGAAAAAACGCAGAAACTTGAGTAGATTAAAGAAAGTCGGTCCCCAGGGCCAGGGGAGGCCTCCCCAAAGGCTGAGGTACCAGGAATGAGTTAATCCCACCAAGGAATGCGGAGGAGCTGCCAGATAACAGAGTGACATTGTTTTTCCCTGATGTCAGCACAGAAACCCAAACACAAAGATGTGAATGTAGTCCTTGGAGGCAGCTGAATGTGGGGCTTGTGCCTGCATCCAGCAGCATTGAGACAAGATGACAAAGTGTTTCCTGGAAGCAGGGGCTGGCTCCGGACAGCTGGGCCAGCCATGGTGGGAAGGACTGGGAGATGTTCATGTGCCGGGAGTGGCCACAGGGTCCCATTCTGCTCCCGCCTGCCTTAGGAACATGCAGCTCTGGTAGGCTCAGGCTTCCACTGAGTAATTTACAGCCATCCACGGTCATTTTATTTTCCTCTACAGCTCATTTTAAGGCATCTTATTTTCTCCTGAAGCATTTCCATGTTGTGTCCAGCCTGAGTAATTCAATTTATTCTGTATTAGGCAGGTGATGGTCTAGAGGATATTTAGGCCTTGCTGGAATAGAAGCCTTGTTTCACTTTAATATAGGCAGCACTTGTATTGCTTCCAGAGGGATGGTAATTAAATGCTTGCTGACAGGCTTTGGATGCGGAGCTGCTCTTCTCAGCAGCTGGAATGTGCTCTGCCTGGACCCACCTCCTGAGCGGGAAGTTTCACAATTGGGTGACTGTCCATCACATGAGAAATCCATAACGGCATAGTAATACCTGTATTATTCATTTTTGGCTATTCTGAAGTCTACAGGAAGGTAAACAAAGGGAGAAAAACCCGAAGAGAAGGTTTTAAATTGCTCTGTTTTTATTGCAGGGCTGGTATTAACCTGCTCGGAGCCCTTGGCTAGGCCTGGTGCGGAGCCAGGGCTGCTGCGTGCCTGGGGTTACACACAAACCCCACAGCCTGTGTGGTAATCGGGGAAAGCAGACTCAGGAACGCCTAGACAGCAGCTGCTTAAAATCTGCTTGGAAAAAAGTGAGGCTGTAAATGCTGTTTTCTGAGAGGAAGGAAAAATGTGGGTGACTGAGGTTATGGATTTCAAAATAGGGCACACTGAGGGTCGGCTGGGTGGGGAAGGGTCCTCCCTGCCCCGGCTCTGTGGGACGGTACAGCTCTCGTGAGAGTGTAAATTAAACACTCTGGAATTACCCACAATAGCTGAAGCGAGTCCAGAGGAGGTCACAGAGATGCTCCAGGGCTGGATCCCTCTGCTCTGGAGCCAGGCTGGGAGAGCTGGGGGGTTCCCCTGGAGAAGAGAAGGATCCAGGGACACCTGAGAGCCCCTTGCAAGGCCTAAAGGGGCTCCAGGAGAGCTGGAGAGGGACTGGGGACAAGGCATGGAGGGACAGGACACAGGGAATGGCTTCCCACTGCCAGAGGGCAGGGATGGATGGGAGATTGGGAAGGAATTGCTGGCTGGGAGGGTGGGCAGGCCCTGGCACAGGTTGGGCAGAGAAGCTGTGGCTGCCCCTGGATCCCTGGAAGTGTCCAAGGCCAGGCTGGACAGGGCTTGGAGCAACCTGGGCTGGTGGAAGGTGTCCCTGCCCATGGCAGGGGTGGAACTGGATAAGTTTTAAGGTCCCTTTCCACCCAAACCATTCCATGATTCCGTGACTGTGTGGGATAACTCAGGAGCACACTGAGGGAGACCGGCAGGACCAAGGAGATGGAGATGGTTCTGAAAATAAACCTGAACATAGAGAGCAGGACCAGGCAGCTTCTGCTAAAGCTCATGGAAGCAGGGGTTTTTGTTTGTTTGTTTGTTTGTTTTTGTGGGAACATGCTCCGGAAAGAGCCTGTTTGGGCTCCTTTTCCCTTCAGTATCAGGGCTCTAAACCCTTGGGGTACCCGAGCGGGGTTCGGCCAGCCCGGGCTGCCCCCAGGCCCGGAGCTTTCCCCGCACACAGCGGTGGGAATCCCTATTCCCGGGGGGCACCGCTATTCCCGGGGGTGAATCCCCGCTCCCTTTCCCGGCAGAGGGAGTCGTGTGGGGACGAGGAGGGCGGGAACGGCGGGGGAACCGGGCCCGGGGACGGACATGGCGGTGGCGGGCGGTGAGGCCCCCACGGCCGGGGATGTAGCTCAGTGGTAGAGCGCGCGCTTCGCATGTGTGAGGTCCCGGGTTCAATCCCCGGCATCTCCAGGCGCTTCTTTTTCCTTCTTTATTCTTTTTTTTTTTTTTTATAATTAGGATTTTTCCCGTCATCCCCGCGCGGAGAGGTCGCCCGCGGGGGCTCCCCCGGGCGGGAAGCAAAACACGAAAGCTCCGCGGCCCCCCCAAAAAAACCGCGACCGCTCCTCCTCCCCCGAAAAATAAAAAAAAAGAAAAATCAAAACAAAAAGTCGAGTTGCATTGGCCGGGAATCGAACCCGGGCCTCCCGCGTGGCAGGCGAGAATTCTACCACTGAACCACCAATGCGCGCTCTGAGAGCTTCCCCCGCCCCTGGCTCAACCAGCTCACCCCGCGCTTTTCACCTTTTCCGCACGTTTTCCACCCATTTTTTCAGCCCCCCCGCGGCCCCAGGCAGCGCTTCGGAGCCGTCATTCCCCGGGGAAAAACGGCCTTAGTCATTTAGCCGGTTATACATTTTTTTCCTCTAAAGGATTACACTCCCCCTCTTGAAAAAGTGTATAATGTCCCCATCATATGCTCCACAGAGTCTACTCTTGTTCACCCCTCAAAGACATGAGATTTCAGTAATCGTTTTTAATTTATTATATAATTTCTCAGCATATTGTTTGAAAACTTTTTCCACGTAGCATATTGTTAGAAAACCTTTTCTCTCACCACATTCTTTGAAAACTGTTTTTTTCTCAGTACATTCTTTGAAAACTTTTTTTCTCAGTACATTCTTTGAAAACTTTTTTTTCTCAGTATATTCTTTGAAAAGTTTTTTTCTCAGTACATTCTTTGAAAACTTTTTTTTTTTTTTTTTTTTCCCCACTAAGCATTCTGTTTCTATCTTCTCGGGGGTAAACTAATGTTATTCCTTGAGTAACTCAGGGGGAGGGATTTAATTTAATAACTAATGTTATTCCTTGAGTAACTCAGGGAGATTTCAGGTGGAGGCTTCCAAAAATCCTTACACCTAGCAATGCAGCTGGACTTGATATTAAAGGTCTTTCCCAACCTAAGTGATTCTACGATCTTTCTTTACATTTAAAGCGTCCAGGCCATGTCACAAGTGTGTGCTTTGTTTGTTTTCTGTACTGGAAGGACTTTGCCAGAGGAGGCTGCTGGTTAAGGGCTCAGAGGCTCAGCTGATGTACCAATGAGGGAATCACAGTGTCCATGGTTTTCCAGGTGATGTGGAGCCACTCCAGCACGCTGTACCCGTGTGTGGGGATGGGACAGCAGCAGAGTGGCACTGCTCACGCTGTGATGTGGTGCCACGTGTCCCAAAATAAACGATGCTCACTCCTGACGCTCAGTTTGCCCGGGACACGCTCCCACCAATGGTCACACACGAGCCAAAGAGTTCAAGGAACAGCAGCACCCAGTGTTTCACGTCAAGGGAACATTAAGACTTACGTACAAAGAGAAGAGCTGTGCCTGAGGACACAGCCCAGGAAGGAGGAACACCCACCTCCAACCACCTCTGGAAAGGGAGGATGTTTTCTTCTTCAGCCAACAGCAATCTGGCACTACAGGTGCTGTTCCAATCTCCTGTCTGACACACATGAACACCACAACGTAACCACACGTCATAGTTCCCTTTCCTTCTTAACTTCCTCTGCCAGAAGGTGACATCGTAAAAACTTCAAGTAAAAACTGTAATTTAGGTTATTGCTCATGACTTCAACAGTCAGCATGGAAAAAATGTGTTCCCAGACAAGCCCAGGACCAGAAATCCCCACGCACCTCCACAAAAAAATATTCCTATTGAGAAGCCCCTAATTCCCTATTTACTGTGTCTGGCAGTTAGCCAAGAGGAGGTGAACGGAAATCACTGACCAACTGGTTTGCCCCTACTTTTATTCTGTCACTTCCTCTCATTCCTGGTGAGCAGAGGCTCTGCCAGGGTCCAGCTGGCAGGGGACACCTGGCAACATCTGTGCACAGCCACGTGGGAAACAGCTGCGTGTCCTCAGAGAGTCATGGAATCACAGCATGGTTTAGGCTGGAAAAGCCCTCTGAGATCATCCAGTCCAAAGGTTCACTCACAGCGCTGCCAAGGCCACCACTGAGCCAGCCCCTCAGCTCTCTGGGGCAGGTCAGGGCACAGCAGAACACGATGTTTCCATGGAACTGCCACTCCTTAGAGAATTACTGCACAGAGGGTCACCACAGTGACACACTTTGCACTATTGGCAAGTCCCACTTGTTCCCAGAGCAGAAGTGAAACCCGTCCTTGCACTTGCAGTTAGTAACTAACTCAGAGAACAGTTCCTCATGTCCATTAGAGCATGTTTTGCATCTGCTCAGAACATCTGGGGGTGTTGGCTGACGTAGTGCAGGGAACTCTGTCAACCAGGAGGAGTTTGGCAACTCACAGGCCTCCCTGGGGACCAAATGTCACTCTAGAACATGCTCTGGAAACCCTTTCCCAAGCTGCATGACCCAGGCTTGCACTTGGCTTCCCTTAAAACTCACTGTGAGTAGGAGAGTGATGCGCAGAGGAGAGAACTGAGACCTGCAGTATTAGAGAGGGTGGTCCAGAGCCTCAGAACTGCTGAAAAATTCATAGGATCAGTTCAGTTGATTAAGAATCCCCATGTTGATGCTTCTGGCTGAGCCTCAACACTGTGTCTTCCTGTGCTTCCTGTGCCACCAACAGCACCTGGAGGTGCTCCAGCGTGTAGCTCCAAGGAGGATGCTGCAGCTCCAGGGCACCTGCAGGGCACGTGCAGCCTCACACACCCTACATTCAGCTGCTGCAGCTGCGATAGGAACAAGGTTGATAGGCAGCGGTAAAACAGCTCAAATCAAGCTTAACTGTGCAGGTGTGGCTTACCTGGGGTGTGGCCAGTGCACATGGCTCATTCCCTCCCTGCTGGCACGGACACGTGTTCCCGTGTCACGCGGCGGGACTGAGGCCGTGCAGCCTCCTGGCATAAAATGGGTGTTGTGTCAGCCCTTGTCCTGCATATAAAAAAGGGAAAGTGTGATGGTACAGCTGTACCTGTTGGCTCTGATCCACCTCACCTGGAGCTGTATTAAATCATGTAAGTCCTACAGAGAGCAGCTGAGGGAGCTGGGAGGGCTCAGCCTGGAGAAAAGGAGGCTCAGGGGGGACCTTCTGGCTCTGCAATCCCTGACAGGAGGGGGGAGCCGAGGGGGGTCGGGCTCTGCTCCCAGGTAACAGGGACAGGAGGAGAGGGAACGGCCTCAGCTGTGCCAGGGGAGCACAGGTTGGACATCAGCAGGAATTTCTCCTGGAAAGGGTGGTCAGGCACTGGCAGGGCTGCCCAGGGAGGTTTGGAGTGCCCAGCCCTGGAGGTGTCCAAGGCAGGCCTGGCCGTGGCACTCAGTGCTCTGGGCTGGGGACAAGGTGGGGATGGGGCACAGGGGGATCCATGGGCTGGGAGGGCTTTTCCAACCTCAGTGATCTTGTGATTCTGTAAGTGGAGATCTCAGAAATCATGCCTAGGGAGTAATTCCAAGTGCCCTGAAATATAGCAAACCTCTTTGTAAGAACCAATCCACGTTTCACTAACACATACCTAATATCACCTGGGAGGTCCAGTCCAGACTTCCAAAACACCGCAGGATAACAACTGGCTTTTCAAAATGGCTCCTAAAAGCCTCCTCATAAAGGCTTCCAGAGCATGCTCTTGTCTCTTCTTCCAGAGTGCAGAGGAATTGCTCCATCTCCGGCGAGTTCTCCGCTGAGTGGAGCACACGCACATCAACTCGATTTTAACAGGTCACGGAATAAGCCGGGCATTTAAAAATATCCACCTACCCAAAAGGACAAATGAAGCCGTATTGTGGAGCCTTCAGCAAAGATTGTTGGAACAAAACAAACAAAACAATCGTGGTAATCTTTTAGGGAAGACTTATAATGTAGAACAACTTGTCAGAGCGGGTTAAAGTTTTAAGGCCTAGCAATTTTGACAGCGTCCCTTTGAGCACAGCACGAGCGCAGGGACGAGCAGGACAGCAAAAGGTCACTTGGTCACACGTATCTGCTGCCTCCCTGAAGTTTAGCTCAAGACCCACTAGGCACGTCCCAATTAATTATTTAAATCTGCAGGGAAAAATGTTTCTGTAGATGAAAAGGTATGATGTGAAATTCCAGGGGAGCTGCAGGATGGCTGGAGTGGTCAAAAACGGTGCTAAAGGAAGACGGGGTGAGATGTCCCATCTGCGGGCTTTGGACACTGAGAGGAGCCATTTACAGCCAGGAATGCTGATTGTTTCAGATACCAGCCAGGGGAAACATAGGGATTTTCCAATATCCCTTTTTTCCCAATGGAACAGTTCTGGATCACTAAAGGTCACCAAAACCAAATTGACAGTGATATACATGGTTATTTAAAATAACTTCCCCCAACACAACCATTGATGATGTTGCTGGAAATCTGTGCAAGTTCCTTATAATCCCGTGGACACCCTGAAAATGTTCATTCCAGATCCCATCCAAATGGTCCCAAAGGAACACCATCAGACAGGCAATGCCAGGGAAATGGGTACTAGAAGAGATCAGGCGATTCAAATCCCCTCTTTATTCATTATGCACTGATAATATATCAGGATATCAGGCTGGGGTTTTCAAAGGGATTGTACATCTTTGAACTGGTTTTCTAAAGTTTTCCTAATCAATTCAATGGAGAAAATACCTGGATAAACAGTAGATGTGTATACTCACCAGGACTGGTTTTGGTCTGTCATTGTCTCAGAATAAAACATAATACAGCACAAATTCCAAAGAGCCTTTTGCAGTGCGTTTGCTGAATGTAATCTCTCATTCTGGCATGTGTAGAGGAAATAAATTTAATTAATTTTAATACATATTTACTGCCACAACCAAGATCTTTAAACATCTAAACATGAAATAGCTACTCTCGACTAGTCCAAGCAGCCCTGCTTTCTAAAAGATATTGTCTTTCTTTTCTTTACCAAGGAAATTCATGTTTTCTACCAGACCTAGCTCGGCTGTTTGCCCCAGAAAAACAGGGATACTCCACATCCCTCCCTTCCGTTCCCTGCCTGTGCTGCCATTGCAGGGAGAGGCCAGTTAATGATGGTGCTTGTTCTGCCACACAGAACGCACCCCGTGACCTTATTCTTTTAAAACTGCGATTTTTGCGCTTGTTTCTGTGGCTCAGCCCTGATGTGGGATCTTGATGGAACAGCAAACAACCAGACACGATTATGATGATAACACATTCTGCAGTTTTAATAGAAAAATAAGCCCCTTGCTCGTTCTCAGACACACAGTGGATGGATTTATCTGTTGCATGTAGGGGAAACGTTTGGACACCAGCAACACTTCCTGGTTCACTGGCAAACTGAGCATCCCACGGGAAGCCACAGGGTTGTACTCCTACTGACACCTGACACCCGCAGCCCGAGATGGCAACAAGCTCAATGTTTAATCACAGCCATGACTAAGTACTTTTATTTTCCAACGGGAGGACCTACCGTGCAACCCGCTGGAAAAAGTCTCGGCAGAGAAATTCTGCGTCTGTTCCCGTCCCTCCGTCTCGGCTCTCCTGCGATCACCGGCACCCCTTGCTCCTCACAAAGACGCTTTCCTGAAGACAGATTAGGAGCAAACATACTTGTGAATGTAGGAACAGATTTTCTCCTTATGATACATAACTTTGGCATGCAGTCAGGAAACGAGGATAATCTTCTTCCCCATCTTCCCTTGCTAATGAAGAGAAACTGCCTCTGGGGTTCAGGACAAAAGGTGAACTCTCCCTGCACACAATTTACACCTGCTGAGCACATGATTTCGGGCATCTAAAATCCGTGTCTTGGCAGGTGTCCCGGGGACTCAGCCACACACACGGAGACTCAGGAGGTAATATTTTCATCTAGGCATTAAATAAAAAGCAGAGTCAAGAGGGATGAATTTTGCGGTATTTTCAGGCATCTCTCTCTCTCTTTTTTTTTTTTTTTCTTAACCTTGTAAAAATCTTTCACTTTGCAAACTTATGAAGCCCAATCTTTGCCAATGAGTAACTTAGATAAAAATAGAGGTGAAAACTAACTAAGGCAAAAAGACAGCAGTAGTTGAACAGAAGCCTAATGGAGTGAGAACAGCCCATCCCTGTTCATTGGAAGCAGCACTTGAACATGTGGACAACCTACCCTGGAAAGTGAGATTGCTTGGGAAATGTGATCCCTACAAAGTTTTCACTAACTCCTCGATTTCCCTTTATGAGTGGAGTAGTATAACGTCCTCATCTCTCATGATGAGACACAGCAGTGCTGGGTGCAGAAAACGACCCCTTGGACACTGAATGTAGACACATTTTGTGCTCTTACACCGCTTTGTTTGGAGTCAATAAGAAATGACCATAAATTAAAACTGACAGCACAGCCACATGTGGGTAGACAACACCCTTGAGGGGTGGGAGGGCAGAGGATTTTCCCAGTTCTAACAAAGTTATGATCAAGTTTTGAATATTTGTTAGAAATGCATGAAATGATAACATTTTGTGCCACATTAGGACACATACATGGGGAAGGCATTCACACCCAGAACTTGTTAGAACACATACAAGGGTAGGCATTCACTTGCAGAACCATGTGTGTGTTGGATCCTGCTGCAATTATTCACCACAAACTGCATTCAAATCCTTTTTTCCCCCCCAATTCTTCTTCCTTTCTCACGATCTCTCAAAAAGAAAAGCAAACAAACAAAAAACAAAGAAACAAATCCCCAAACAAAACAAACAAAACCCCAAACAAAACACCACACCCCAAACCCATAACCTCATACACCAATTAATCATTTTCTGGTCTTTTTCCTTTCATTTTCCATTCTTTCTCTGCAGCTGAGGGCTTCCAAGCCTGAACATACAAAAATTCCAGCTGCCACTTGAGATCTTACTCCCTTTTAAGAGCACTTATGTGCCGGGGATAAACACGGCTCCCATCACCAGTGGCCTGAATATCCCTGACTTTGCAAAACCCGTGAAATCCAACCCCTGCAGTTGTTTACGGCCTTTAAGTGGCACCCAGGCAGCTGCGGACCACGAGGAGCGGCGCGGATGGCAGCGCCGGGCCCCACGCGTGGGCCCGAGGCCTCCGGCGGGGCCGCCCGCGCAGCCCCGGGGAGGGGCGGCCCCGGGCGGGGACCCCGCCACGCCAGGCCGGGGATGAGGAGGCCGCGCCGGGCCCCTCCGCGCGGGCCAGGCCGCACCGGCGGCCGCGGGCAGGGCAGGGCAGGGCCGGGCAGGGCGGGGAGGTGCCCGCGGTGTTCGAGGCGGAGCTCGGGGGAGCCGGGCTGGCTGCTGCCGGCGGAGGGCGGGCGGCACAGAGCCGCGCTCCTCACTCGTGCTGCCGCCCGCACCGCACCGCGGGCTCCGGGTGAGTGACTCTCGGGGCATCTCCGAGCGGCCTTCGGAGCCGGGGGGCGGCGCGGGGCGATGGAGGGAGCGGGGCTGGCCCGGACACGCGGGGGCGGGGGAGCCCTGGGGTGCCTGTGTGAGCGCGGATCTAACGCTGCTCTGCTCCCTGCGGGCCGGGGACACTGCCTGCCCCAGCCCGGGTGCCTGACTGTGAGCGCCGATCGAACGCTGCTCTGCTCCCTGCGGGCCGGGGACACTGCCTGCCCCAGCCCGGGTGCCTCTGTGAGCGCGGATCTAACGCTGCCCCTGCCCCGCTCCGCCTGCCTCAGCCCGGGGGTGTCCAGGCCAGGCTGGACGGGGCTTGGAGCACCCTGCGCTGGTGGAAGGTGTCCCTGCCCATGGCACGGGTACGTGGGATATTGGGGAGAAATTCCTCCCCAGTTTGTGGGTGTTGAGGCCCTGGCACAGGTTGGGCAGAGAAGCTGTGGCTGCCCCTGGATCCCTGGGAGTGTCCAAGGCCAGGTTGGACGGGGCTTGGAACCACCTGGGCTGGTGGAAGGTGTCCCTGCCCATGGCAGGGGGTGGCACTGGGTGGGATTTAAGATCCCTTCCCATCTAAACCGTTCTGTGGTTCCATGATCTTACACAAGCAGCTTTCACTCACAAGTAGTCTCAGCCTCCTCCCACTGTTTTATTTAAGCTTTTGGTTGGGAAAAAAAATGATCAAAAAGAGGAGTGTGTGGCAGTTTTGTGGAAGTGTTGTCGAGCCCCTGGCAGCTGTCCCGTGTATGTGTGGTCCCTGTGCTCCCTGAGAATGTCCCCCAAACAGCGATCCAGCCCAGTCTTGCTGTCCATGGACAGCTGCCTGAGCACCTGTAGGTATCTAAATATAACAAACAAGGGGAGTTGCAGAGCGCTTTCACTGTATTTTCTTTCTTGGATGGAGGGGGTAGAAACAGCATCTCCTATTATTGGAAAAATGTGAAATCTGGGAGGGGGAAAATAGCATATCTGTAGTTACACAGAACTTTGGAAAACGAAAGTAACTTACTGCTTGCACTGAACATACTCATGGGACCATTTCTGGGTGAGAGCGTATCAAACCCTAAACTTTTTTGAGTTGTTATCTCTACTAAGCCAGCAGTAAATGTTTGTAAGCCTGATACTATGGGAAAAGATATAAATGTGTGTGTGGAGAGCTCGGATTTAAGCCAGGCAGATTTACTGCCTGCTGAACTTCCTCTGCTGTTCACAGCAGTCAGGGAATACAGGTGTGCTGGCAGCAGCTCCTCTCACCTGCTGCTGGAAGTGGGGGCTCTGCTCCACTCGGTAGTAGTTGCATTTTCTTCTCTTCCCTGCTCCTTTCTACACTTCCATTTTCCTCCCTTATTCGTAGTTACAGTTCCTCAGGAATCTTCAGTGATGAGCAGTGCCTCCAATTAGCCGGTAGAAGACTTGGTCTGATATTTCAGGATCTTTACCTGTTAATAGCTAAAGCAAAGGCCAGTGTTGCCTCTTCTATAATAGCAACAACCAGGATTTTATTAATTTTAGTGTTAGACAATTAGCAGTTTTCTTAGTCTGACATTGGATGGAAGTTTTGAGCAGGCACACCTACGATGTAAGATTATGCACACACCTTGCATGTAATTACCAGTGTTACTTTGGTTGTGTATATGTGGATTTACACTTTGTTTTGCTTAATTCTGTGTGGGTACAGAAGCACAGTAATAATAACTTTGTGAGCTAGGCCTTGCTGCATGATGTAGTATTTTCCCTAGAGCTCCACTTCTTCCTGGTGACTGTCACTGATGGGAACACAGAAAGCTGGCTGGATGTGGTCGGTTCAGAGGCCACTCATGCAGAGCAGTTTCCCAAAGGACAGCTCCTACAGGTTCCTTGCTGCTGCCTGCTTTGTCTCCACGCAGGTCTCTGCAAGCTTTGGGAAATATTTAAGAGAAATGTGCTTTTTCCGCCATCAGTTTGCATTGGTGACTTTCTCCTTCCACTCGTCGGGGATGGTTTCAAAACAGGGCTTGGTGTTTCCAAGCAGCTCAGTTAGGCAACAGCTTCCTCCTACCCTGGTGCCTGTTTACTTGGTGCTGGCAATGGGACCTGGGGGGTTGTTTTCCCTTTTTATGGCCTGTGCTGCCCTCAGTCTAACCCAGAGCTCTGATGGTCTAGTTGTGTAGATTAACTAATCTGCTGTACGTTCTTGGCCTTCTGGTTGTTAGTTTGGACCTGCGCTTTTCCAGGGATAGCTGTGTCATTGTGGGTGTGCTCCTGTGGCTGAGGGGAGCGCAGGGTGTGAGCATCAGGGTGCTGATCCCTGCTCCTGCCACCCTCCTGGGAGCTCTGGGCCCTGCTTGTTGGGTGGGCTTGGGAGAGCAGGAGACCACGGCCAAGCTGGGCAAACAGGAACAGCTCGGGCTCTGCTCCCAGGAAACAGGGACAGGAGGAGAGGGAACGGCCTCCAGCTGTGCCAGGGGAGGGGCAGGTGGGACATCAGGAGGAATTTCTCCTGGAAAGGGTGGTCAGGCACTGGCACAGCTGCCCAGGGAGGTTTGGAGTCCCCATCCCTGGAGGTGTCCAAGGCAGGCCTGGCCGTGGCACTCAGTGCTCTGGGCTGGGGACAAGGTGGGGATGGGGCAGGACAGGGTGGACTCAATGGGCTGGGAGGGCTTTTCCAACTCAAATGATTCTGGGATTCTGTGAAATAAAAATCAGAGGCTGGAAAAACAAAGCTGAAGCAAATGGGACAAAAGTGGAAGATGCTTCCTGGGTGTTTGTGGTCCAGACTGGAGCTACTGGGAGTAAACAATGGGGAGCACAGAGAACACAGAGGCTGCTTTCAGCAGCAGCTGTTGGGTTTGGGGCTCCACTAATGAGCTCTTAGAGATGTAGATGCAGCCCATTCCTGCCAGAAAGCTTTACTTTAGGAAGCAGTTCTTATTACATAACAAACAGACAGTAATCAAAGCTCTTCCACAGTATCACAGTATTGATTCTGGAAACGTTCCCTGTCCCTAAATAACCATCCCTGAGCCAGGTTCCCGAGCAAACATGTAACTGTGTCTCCAAGGGGTTTCCAGGGGAACTGGCCCCGAGTCCCAGCTGGCCCCTGCAGATGGAGCCCACCCGAAGGGTTCTCTGCTCGCTGGGTACGAGGTCTTGGACCGGGCTGTTTGATGTGCCTGGCAAAGGGTTTCACAGACCCGAGCTCTGATTCTGATTTCAAAGTGATTCTGAATGCAGGCCCCTCCTCTGAGATTAGATTTACATGTGCTATCAGGTCTCAATCTTTGTCCCAGGATATAAAACTAGGCTACTTCCTTGCCACACCTAAGTAATCACCTAATTTGGAGCCATTTTTTGAGCAGGTTCCTGTTTGTATGGGAAGGTCTATGTCCAGTCTTGTAATAAGCAAAAACACCTTATGTTCTAATCCTTGCTCCCTGAGTGTTTGACTGGGGAGGGGAAGGAAAACCAACTTTAGGATCAAGCTGAACTGATAGACTGTCTATTCAAATATCTGCATTAAAAATAAGGGAAATAAAGAATATCAGAAAAAAAGGGTGAACAGCTATAAATTAGCTGTCACTAACAAGAACATTTCTTTCTAATTACAATAATTGGCTTATGCTGTTTGTGTTGTGTGTGGTGGATTTTCTGGATATTAACCAACAGGGAAGGCAAAAATGGCTTTTTGAACTGTTGAAGCTGAAACAGCATTTGCACAAGAACACAAAGGTATGGAAATCATCCTGCACACATTAGTCAGTGCTCAGGCTGGAGATGAGGCTCCCCACTCCTTCCAGTAGGACAGGAGGGAATTGAAATACTTTTACCTAGAACTTGATAAATATGTTGTGATGTTTGTATGGTGGGAAGGCTCCAAACACTCGTTGATGTTGGTGTTCCTTTGTACTCCTGTTAGTCCTTAGGTACAGTCCTTGGGATTACAGCCATCCCTGTCTGTAGTATTGCTTCATTCCCAGGAACTTGCTGCTCTCTCTGGCAAGACTCTTGCTATCAAAATCCCAAGAAGGAATTGCACATCGAACCTTTCCCCTCATCATTTGTCAAACTTTTTTTTTTTTTTTTTTGTAGCAGGGTAATGAAACAGGAGAAGAAGAAGTGGTTAGGTTAAAAATGCAAATAGTGGAAAGAAGAGCTAAGAAAGCTTGTTCCTTGTAGGATGGGAGCGATGTAGAGCAGTTGTTCTGTCATGTAGTGAAGGGTGGGAATATCTTGGTGTCTGAGTACAGAAGGCAGATGAAGTAGTTGGAAACAGTGGGACTACGAGGAGGAATGAGGATAGGACGCCTATTTTCTGCTTTGTTTTTCCTTTATTTTTGTGCCTGGCAAGTGCTACAACCACTTTTGGGCATGAGAGCTGAGCTGGTTGCCTGCACTGGAACGTGGGAAGGATTTTCCCCATATGGTAAAGCTTGGCTTCCACTTGTCAGGGCTGGGTGGCCTGGGGGGATGTCGGGGTTTTAAATTCTGTGTGCAGGAACTTATTAATCTCTGGGGTGGTCTGGGACTGAAAGGGACCAGTGACACGGGGAGATGTCTGGGTATTGCAGGTTATGATGCTGTGCTTGGTTTGAGAGGTGGTTCTTGGATAGTGGCTTTAATTACAGGGCCCAAAGTTGTGCTGAGAATCTGGAAAACCATCAGAGGGGCTTTTGGAGGGGATCTGGAGGGTGGACACTGCCATGCTGCCTTTGGGAACCACTGGAACTCTTCCTTGGATGTGCTGTCCTTCATCAGAGATCTTGCAGGGGAAGGATCTCCACTTTGGGTTGGTTTGGGCTTTAATCAGTTAGTCTGGCCTGCCATCCTGTGTAACATGAACCACTCCGGGCTTATCAAAGGTAAACGAGAGACAGCTGGTGGATGACCTGCTTAAGGGGATGCTAACTGGGTTATTTTCTGTTTATATCCCCTTTTTCTCATTATTTGGCCTCTTCCTGCCATGGCACACCCTGCAAACAGCCAGTAGCAGAACAGTGCAGCTTTCAGGGCTGAAGTTACCCACAGTCAGAACCGACTGTGGCTCTACTGCTGCTCTGTCACCATGGCCACCTGCTTAGTCCTTCAGGAGGGATGAGAGCTGGATTAGAGGGAGCTGAGGGCAGGACTGCAGCTGTTTGGAGGAGCAGGGCCGGAGCAGGACTCTGCTCAGCCCGGAGGGACATCAGTCTGGGCCTTTCATCATCCCAGACTTACCTGAGGCTTTGGGAAGGAAGAGGAAAGAGGGATTAGATGATGCTCCAGCCCCAATGGCAAGTTATGCAAACTGTAGTGGAGATGATTATAAGTTTTCTATTTTTAAGTCTTGCATTGAGTGACTCACTTTATTAGATGTGTTCGTTGGAGATGGAATGCGAAGCACCCGGATTCCATGGTAATGGTCTCGCAAGGCACACAGATATACAACAGAACAGATTGGGTTTCTTCTCTTAATTTACCGGGTTCTGTGTCTGATGGCGGCACGCGCTCCCGTGGCGGAGCTGTGCCGCCTGGATCCATCTGTGCCTTCGCTGCTGCTAAACCATCGTCTTGCTGTGGTCCAACTTGTGGTCCTGGGGCTGAATTCCCCACCCTGCCCTCATTCCTCTCATTCCTTCCCCCAGCTTTGGCTGTGTGCTGCTCAGATCCAGCCCCGTGTCCTCCTAATTAGAAAGTATCTGAGGACAGAAGTGCTGGTGATTGCGATGCTTCCCTTTCAGTCACCTGTTGTCTGGGGTGGGAGTGGGTTACACAACTCCAAATGACAGCCAGCCAACAGTCTGGCAGCTGCCTGGGCCAGGCATTACGGGAAGCAAGGAAGGCAGGCAGGTCCCTCCCATGGGTCCAGCCTGATGAGGGCTGCGCGTGGCCGAGGTTTGGCACGTGGCGTGCTCTGTTCTGAAGCCTCTGCTGATGACAGGTGTTGAAATCCATTCTTTAAAAACCAGAATGTAAGTGGTGCTTTGTAGGTTTTTGGGTTTGAACCATGGGGCTGAAAGTGGAGCAGTGTAAGAAGTGTATTAAAGGATGAAGGGGAGCCCTTGCCCGTGGCACAGGAGGTCTGGGATCTGATAGCTGGTGAGGTCACTGGGGACCTTGCTGGGGCAGGGAGCTGGTCACCAGCCTGGATCTGGAGTGGGACACTCCTCTGGGGGTGACTGCTGCATGGGGAGCTACTGGCTAAGGAATGCACTGAGGAGGGAGCAGTTCCTACTGCGAGGTGGTTTGTATTATTAACTTTTTTAACTTCTGGAAACTGAAAGTGGCAACTTGTGCTGACAAATCTTTTGTGTAGTTTCTGTTTCGCATAGACTAACTCCCCCTGCCCCTTTGTTTCCTTTCAAGTTTAAAGGCTGTTTCTTGTTATCAGGAACCTTGAGTACCACTCGGAGCTGATGTCCCTGTGGATCTTTACCAACGCTCAGCAGGTTCCCTGGGAACTGTTCCCCGGGGTTATTGAACTCCTTGGACAGATAACTCTGTGCAATACCCACTGTTTGTCACATGCCCCTGGCTCCTCCTGTGCCAGTCAAGGGCTCCTGCTCCTGCCACGGCTTGTTCTAGAGCCTGTCAGGGACCTCAGCCCACCCTCCAAGCAAGGGCATGGGTCCAAAGGTGCCGTTTATGGCCTCTATCAAAACCAAGGGTCAGGCTTAACACGCAGATTTACGGTGTCAGATGGCGCTGACAGCGCTAAAACACTCTGTACGCTGCTTGAGCTGCTCTGAAAGGTGACTCAGAATATTTGTGTGATGGAAAGATGACTTATTTCTGACTGTAGTGCTTCTCATGCTGGTTGCTGTTATAATTGCCATTAAAATGAGATTCTGTTTCCATCCCAAGCTATTGATCTCAGCTTGGAAGAGGGGCAGGTTTCAGTAGCTGCTCGCAGAACAGGACAGGTTTGGAAGCGTAGGCTCTTCCCTGGGTACAGCCTTCATGGGAACGACATGGGCTGCATTCCCTCCCCTTTCATCTGTGCTCTGGTGACTCCTGCTCGGAGCTGACAGCAGCCTTTCCCAGCCGTCTGGGACAGCGCTAGAGGAAACGCCTCAAGTGCATGTTTGGAGCCTCTAATTTCCCTCCGGCTGCTGGGGCGGTGTTTGATCCGTCCTCCTGCCCAGAGGAGCCTTGTTGTGTGCCATTTCCCACCTGCAGTGCTGTTCCTTTCCAGAGGAAGCCACAGGAGAGGTTGTGTGCCCCAGCAGAGCTCGGGGCAGAGCCCAGGCCAGCCTGGCACATCGATGCCAGAGGATTGTCCGGGCTCTGCAGCCCCTGCTAACACGCCAAGCTCAGCCAGCCTCATCCAGACACATGGCTCAGACCTCCCAAATGTGGGTTCCTGGGATGCAACTGAGCTGTTCCAGCTGTAAAAGCACCGTCTGCAGGTTGGAATGCCTGTCTGGCTTTGTGCTGGAGTGGTTTGTTAAGCCCTGTTTTCCTTTCTGTCCCTCAATAAGCTTCTCATAGGGATGGTGAGCAAGATTGATGTGGCAATTTGAGCAGCAGGGCTCCTGGGAGAGTTGCTTTCTCTGGAGAACTGCCTGTAATCGGGCTCTCAGCTCTGAGGAGAGCTAATGCCACACGCCTCTGGTGCTGAGTGAGCAGAGGGGAGTCCCTTCCCGACGGCTGAGGCCGGAGATCCCTCCTGTACAGCCAGCACCCAGCCCCTTTGTGTGTTATAAACGTTACCTGCGTGATCAGAGTGGCAGAGCTGTTCCCTGTGGCACATCTGGTGTCCCTCCAGTGTGGTTAGGGCTGTACCCACAGTGAGAGCAGGGTCAGCTCGTGCTGGGACCCATCCTGACCCTATTCCCAATGTACCTGCACTGTGGCCGTGCCCAGCACTCACCTTTGGTGTTCCCCGAGTTGCTGTAAACGGGATAAAGGAATTAATTAAATTCTGAAGGCTGGCTGTCCTTTATTGGTACATCCAGGGACAGTTAATGGCCTGAATTGGCAGTAGAGATTGCTGGGTGCTGACAAACAGCAGAAGGTGTCTGTAACTCAGGATTGGAGTGAGTGTGCAGTTGATTTCTCCTGACTGATTTCATAAGGTTGTGCAGAATTGTCCCACAGACAATTTAGAAATATACTACACAACTTCAAGGGATTTTTGATTGGTTTCTTTTAGTATGTATACAGTGGCATTTCTGGTGTGATTGACAATGAGAGAAACTACAGATTTAGGTTGATGCAGTAATATTTTTTAATATAAAACTAAAGGCGTAAAGGTCAAATAGCTACAATATTTCTTCAGTTTTAAAAACTTGGAGGGGTGTTTGGTTTTTTGTCTTTTTTACAAGTATTGATAAAATGCCCATTATAAAGGCCCAGTAAAACTTGCAGTCCTAAGATAATGGTTTTCTTGTTGAAAAAAAAAATTCAGAGTTGTCTAGGAAGCTGTATTTTTTAAAGCAAGCTGGTGTAGACAATGATCACTGAGACTTTTAGTCAGTGGTTTGTGTACTGTGTGCTGCTCTAATTCCATGAAAGCGTGATGATGTAACTCTGGCAGGTATGTCCCTGGTTTTCAAGGTGTCAGGAGAGGTCTGAGCGAGGGCACAGGAAGCAGGGATGAGTGTTGGCTGTGCTTACAGGAATGAGGTTTGGGTGGGAAGAGACCTCAAAGCCATCCAGTGCTACCCTCTGCCATGAGCAGGGACACCTTCCACTAGCCCAGGTTGCTCCAAACCCCATCCAGCCTGACATTGGACACTTCCAGGGATCCAGGGGCAGCCACAGCTTCTCTGCCCAACCTGTGCCAGGGCCTGCCCACCCTCCCAGGGAAGGATTCCTTCCTTTGGACAATCCAGCCTGGGCACATGTCTGTGTGTGCAGGCCCACGAGCAGGTCAGTGAAGTGCGCTGGTTGTGTGTCTGTGTCCTGACAAGCCCCAGGGGAGGCTGCAGGCCCCCCAGCCCAGCCCTGGGACGGGGAGCTGCCCTGGCCCCTGCTCCTGACCCGGAGCTGCTCCCGCCGTGTTGTCAATCCGCTGGTGTTCCGCTGTTGGCACAGGGCTGCTCACATTGCCCACGTCTGCTTTAAGCTCTATTGGTGCTAAATCCGTTATCTTGGCCTGCTGGGGCAGTCTGTGCCCTGGGCAGAGGTGTGTCCGTGTCCAGAGGGCCCCTGGGGCTGCCAGGAGTCCCTCTCACGGGATGCGTTGTCCCCAGCACGACACGAGCCCCGCGGGCCGGGGAAGATGGAGATGGAGTAGGTTGTGCCTGCTTAAGATTCAGGTCAGTCCCATGCAAATTTTTCATTCAGGATCCGAACACTGGGTCTATTAAGAATTGGCCTGACCCACATAGGGCTGGTTTTAAACCCTCTGGAGCTGGATGATAAAGTGCTGTGCTGCCTTCCAGCCGCTCAGTGTTGTCCCTGTCTGTGCTGCTGCCTCTCGCTGAGGGACCTGCGTCCTGAGCAGACACCACTGCGGGGTAGGATGGGCTGTGCTGGTGTGTAATTCCCGACTGGAAAGCAGGATGGAGTGCTCTTAGGCTAATGGGGTTGTAGCAGGAGTTTGATGGGGTGGGAGGGGAGCTAAGGGGGATGTTGTGGAGCACATCCACTTGGGTGTTGGGATAAGGATTTGGTGGCCTGATGGCCGAGGACAGGGTGTTCCTGGTCTGCCTTTGCCGTGGTGTTGGACGTACTTGTCACAAACAGGAGTGTTATTGGGGGGTGTGTGCAAATCTCCTCAGATCTGAATACTCTTGTCATTCAGCTTTCACAGCAAGCACCAGAGCACTCCGGCTTGCCTCTGTCTAGACTTTGTTTAGAAATTATTAATATTGCAATGAAAATTGCTAATTAAGACATTGCTACTCTAAATTTCAACTTGTCACAACATTGTCATCAGCTTCTGCAAATGGTCTCTCCTGTGTAGCCCAGATCCTGACATGGTAAATGTGCTGATTTAATTTTTATCTCCTTGTCTTCCAGTAAAAAATGGCATTTCGGAAGGCAGTGAAAGGAACTGCTCTCATTGGAGGAGGTGCCATAGCAACAGTTTTTGGCCTCTCTCAATTTTCTCAGTATAGAAACAAACACGTAAGTATTAATTATGATTTCTGATAAAATATGAAACTTAAAATCTGTCGGAGCGTATGTCAGGCTCGTAGGAAGAGTTCTGTTTGGGGCCGAGTGCCAAGAGCCTCTTGGCTTGGTTTGGCAGGCGCTGATCTTGGCATTAAAGCTGCTTCACCGTCATGGGTCTGGACTGGTGGGGAAGTGTGGTGCTTGTAAATCACTTTTCGTGTTTAAAAAGTGGCCTTTGGGTGCTACTGGGGATTTTACTTGGTTGCAGGAGGAGTGGAAAGTGCTGATGGAAGTATAAGCTCTGAGTCTGGACAGTATTTTCAGGCTTAGAAGGTGGAAGTGAAACCACCAGCACTACCTCTGAACGTCTTGGCTCCAGAACAGTGGTGGTGCCACCTCCTGTTCAGCTCAGGAGGCTGGAAGCGGTTTGGAGGCAGGATCTGTGCCAAGGAAGTCTGTGGGACGGCTCCTGTTGTCCCTGGTGGGCACAGCCCAGGCACTGCTGAGCTCGGGGGTCACTTCAGGGCTGTGCCCGAGGTCGCTGTGGCACTGCCAGAGTGAATTCCCTGCAGGGAAGGAGGGTGTTGGAGACCTGCTGAGCAGTCAAGCAGTGGCAGCAGAAGGGTGCAGGAGATTCCAGTGGCAGTTTGTGTGTTGGATCTTGCTGCTGTAGGAAATGAGCTTCACTGGGATATCTGCTGCTCACAGCAGGGTCAGAGTGGCCGTGCTCTTTGACTCCTTCTCCATCACAGAGCCACAGACTTGTGTAGGCTGGAAAAGCCCTCTCAGGCTGAGTCCAATCATTCCCCCACCACTGCCAAGGCCACCACTGACCCCTGTCCCCACATGCCACTTCTACATGGCTTTTAGATCCCTCTTCTGGCTGTTTCTGTGGGGAGGAGAAGCAGCTGGGAATGAGGTGACTCATTTCTGGGGAGCCTAGCTGGGAAGTGGATAAGCCAGGATCCTTATGGCTTCAGATACTGTTGCAGAAAATAAACCCCAGCTCTCAAGTGAGCTCCCCGTCGGGCTTCCTGCCTCGCTCGGAGCTGGCAGTGCTGCTCCTGATGGAGAAGTTGAAGTTGTCCTTGCTGGGTGTGCTGACAGGAGAGTGGCACAGGTAGCACCCCTAACCTGGGCCATGTATCAGGTGTTTACACCTTGGAAACAAAACACTCCACTGATCCAGGTTTGTCCTGGTTTTCAAGATTTATATTCCGGCTGGTTTTCATCCCAGCTGATTTTCCTATACACACACACGTGCTGACATTTTGGAGCACATTTCTGCAGCTGCAGTTGAATCACAGAATCCCAGAGCAGTTTGGGTTTGAAGGAACCTTAAAACTCATCTCCTTCCACCCCCTGCCGCAGGCAGAGACACCTTCCACCAGCCCAGGTTGCTCCAAGCCCCATCCAACCTGGCCTTGGACACTTCCAGGGATCCTGGCCCTGGTTGTGTGTTGGGTCTCCTGACCACACATGGTCCCTGCTGAGCAAAGGGAGGACAGGGACATGTGTTGACATGACAGAACTGTGGTTGGATTTAACTCAGGAGCTGATAGATGGATATTGCACTTTGGTGTCTTTTCCAGTAACCTGATCCCTGGGATAGTCACTGAATTAATAGGCTGGGAGAGCATAGTGCTGTGTGTGAGGGAATAAGCAGGAGTGACACTAATTCAAGCCAAACCTTGTTCAGTGAACAACTCAGGAGTGGAGCTTTCACATGGAATATCCATTCCCTTGCAGAGGTTGGTCAGGCTGGTGCAGCCTCGCTGGCTGGAGCTGCTGAGGGGAGCAGGTGGTGCAGGGACTGAGGAAACTGGTCCTTCCAGAACTGGTTCTGAGTAAAGCAGAAGTGTATGTAGACTGATATTTCCTCAGTGTTACCACTGTAAATTGTAAACCAGTTGTTGCCCAGAGAAGCTGTGGCTGCCCCTGCATCCCTGGAAGTGTCCAAAGCCAGGTTAGATGGGGCTTGAGGCAACCTGGGCTGGTGGAAGGTGTCCCTGCCCGTGGCAGAGGGTGGCACTGGGTGAGCTTTAAGGTCCCTTCCCACCCAAACCAGTGTGGGATTCTGTGATTTGGGCCAAATCCTCAGCCCCTGAATGCCCAGGTGACACAGCGAGCCTTTGCCAGCTGTTTCACCAGCCCTTCCAACACGGGTGGTGACAGAGAAGTACCAGATGCTCTTGCTTCCTGAATTGCTGGGCAAGGTGTGATGGGTGCTCTGGGATGTGCCAAGTTGAGCTGGAGAGACCACTGTTGGCTTTTCTTCCCCTCCCTCCCTGTAATCGCCGAGGGAAAGGCACTGCTTTGGTGTGCAGTGTGAAGACGTTGCTGTCCTTTCCCAATCCTCTCTTCCCTGTGTGGAAGTGTGTTCTTGGTCAGTGGGAGTTGCTCAGCAAGGTGAATCCAGTAGTGAGATAATATGATAATGCACTGGGGGCCGCTTAGGGGAGTTTTAATTACTTGATTTTTTTGTTTAAGTGAATAAGGATGATGAATTTGACTCTGTAAACCTACCTGGAGATTTACAGTAGCAAATTAAGAAGAGCCCTGGCTTATGGATTACTAGATCACTTTATAACTTGATGATTAAATTCAAACTGCCAAACTAAATTCCTCTCACTAAGAGTGTAATCAAAACCATTCAGGGAACTCTTGCCTGAGAAATTGTAGATATAAACAGCAATTGCTTATTTCAGTAAACACACTTGTTCACTGCCAAACTAATCACGTTACTGCAGATGGAATCCCTGTGTGCAGCTTTTCTTCACTCCCCCATTTAATTGACAGCAAGATGCATCATATCTATATCAATTCCTCGTGCTAATCACTCTGCTTATATTCCAGGGCTAATCTCCAGACTCTGGCAATACCAGGGGCTGGATGCTGGGGACTCTGCTCTGGTTCTGCTTTGAGCCCTTTGTTGTAAATAATGTGTTTAAAATCAACCCAAAACATAGAGTCAAACCCAGACACCAGTACTTCTTGTACTCTTGAGTGTGGCTTTTCTGGTGTTCTCTTATTTTCCTGAAGTTAAGTTGTACACCTGGAATATTGTCTGGAAACTCAGTGCAAAGCTAATTTGGGGGTGGGGATTTTGCCCTCTCTGAAGCTCTCGGAAGGTGAGCACACGTGGCTGAGCTTGGCCAGCCAAAACTTGTGTGAGGCTGAGCCACAGGTGTTTTTAGCCTTCCCGGTTTCCTGCTGGTCACTGCTGTCTGGGAGTCGCAGGGTGGTGTTCAGGGAAGCTGGGAAGGTGAAGCAGCTGCCTGTCTGCACTCGCTGGGATGCCCCAGCACTGCTGCAGCAGCAGCTCACCCGGGGGAGCAGGAGCCAGCCCGTGACCTGGGCTCTGCAGGCAGAGTGTGTTTGGTGTTCCATGGGGAAATCTCTGATGTGCTTCAAGTCTTGTCCCCCTTTGGCAGGGGAAGCTCTGAGAGCTGTGGAGGCTCACAGCAAACCTCTGCAGAGCTCGGGGCAGAGGGAAGTCTGAGAGCCACCAAGCAAGGAGTGGAGACAGGAACAGCAGGATCCTCTCACTGTCTCCATCCTTGTGTCCGTCACTCCCTGGAAAAACATGTACTGGAACTGTATCACCGCTCCATACTTTACAGAGGTTGTGGACTCCTCATCCCTGGAGGTTGGACCCCTCTGAGATATAAAATCAGGTTGCCCAGAGAAGCTGTGGCTGCCCCTGGATCCCTCGAAGTGTCCAAGGCCAGGCTGGGCAGGGCTTGGAGCAACCTGGTCCAGTGGAAGGTGTTCCTGCCCATGGCAGGGGGTGGAACAGGATGGGTTTTGAGGTTCCTTCCAACCCAAACCAGTCTGGGATTCAATGGTATCTTTCTACGATACTTTGTGGGATGTAAAAGCTTTTAGCACTGCTGGAGAGGCCAGGGCTGGGGAGAGAGTGGGGAAAGAGGCAGCGATAGGTGGGAATGGGAAGAATTCCACGGCCAAATGAATAACGTGGCAGCTGAACTGCTTTGAAGCACCCAAACTCAGTCCCTCAGCCCGTGATCTTTGCCAGCAGCCACAGGTTGGTGTGTAAACACGGGAGAGCGAGGGCAGACTAATGGGGAGGCTCATCAGGATTCACCTCCCTGCCTCCCCGCTCCGCTGTCTGTGTGTGCCTGGAGCACCGGGAGCTCGGCTCTGTTTGAGGGCTGAGCTGGCTTTAAACAGCTCCTAATGAGGAGACCTTTGTTCCCAGCGTTTGCAGCCCAGCCTGGGCACAGGTGGGTGAGCACTTAGTGCAGCTCTGGGGTGCTGGCAGGCAGGCTGTACCCCAGGAGGGCTGGGCTGGGGGAAGGATGGCAGCCCATGGGAGCCACAAGCACTGTGTTTGGGAAAAAAAGCAGTGGTCGTGCTAGGAATTGCCAAACTTTGGTTTTCCCAAATCTTAATTTTCCCTTTGTTTCCCTTTATCATGGGCTGTGTTTCATCTTTGCAGGGTGCCTTGGTGCAGGTTCAGGCTGCAGAAGTTGTTCCAGTAAAGAACCATCTCCCCACAAGAGAACAGCAGATTTTGGCCCTGCAAACCAACAGTGAATTTGATGTCATTGTCATAGGAGGAGGAGCAACAGGCTGTGGCTGTGCTCTGGATGCAGCCACCAGAGGTAAGGGCCTGGAAGTTCAGTTGCAGGTTTATTCTTTATTATAAACTTAGCAGACTGGCTTTTCAAAGCCACGTGAAGGTAGAGGAGGCGTACCCTGAATGCTGGTTGTACATCTGCTGCTCTCAGGAGGTACAGTGAACTTGAAGGAGGTCCATACAGCAGATCCCTGCTCCCATTGCCCCACTTTGGGGGAATTAGCTGGTAGCTGGTTTCAGAGGCTCCTAGGAACAGCAGGGTTGGTGTTAGCTTTTTGTGGAGCCTTGACATAGGGGAAGCACAAGGGAAAGTGAGTTTAAGCAAATGCACTGAAAGTGCCACCAGTGCACTGTGGCAGAAAAGGCAGTTGTAAAGCAGGTAGAAATTATTACAGTTAATCTCTGTTTATCCTTTTCTTGAATATTCTGATTATGTCAGTAGATTTCTGAGGTGTGAAATATTCCTGGGCGTTTGGTTAATGAGTTGTGTCTCGTTGCTGTTCATTCATGGAACTTGCTCTTTTATTGTGTTTGCTTCACTTAACACCAAATTTTGCTTTTCATGTGTTTGATAAATCTTCACCAAATTATTTCTGATTGTGTCCATTAATCTTCAGTCACATTTGACAAAAATGTATTGCTCTGATCTTTGGAAGTTACCAGTAATAATTAGATTTTTTTAAGGACATAAAAGTTTTGGGAGACCAATAGATGTTAAAATCTCTGCTGGACACTGCTGAGGCATCTCCAGTGCTGTGTCCAGTTCTGAGCCCCTCGTGACAAGAGAGACACGGAGGGGCTGGAGCGTGTGCAGGGAAGGGAATGGAGCTAGGAAAGGGGCTGAGGGAGCTGGGAGGGCTCAGCCTGGAGAAAAGGAGGCTCAGGAGGAGAGGAAACGACCTCCAACTCTGCCAGGGGAGGCTCAGGTTGGACATCAGGAGGAATTTCTCCTGGAAAGGGTGGTCAGGCACTGGCACAGCTGCCCAGGGAGGTTTGGAGTGCCCAGCCCTGGAGGTGTCCAAGGCAGGCCTGGCCGTGGCACTCAGTGCTCTGGGCTGGGGACAAGGTGGGGATGGGCACAGGGTGGATTTGATGGTCCTGGAGGGCTTTTCCAACCCCAAGGATTCTGTGATAAGCCTGATCAGATATTTCCTGGGTGTGTCAGGATTCTGGGTGTGCCCACGTTCTGAGCTCTCCCTGACGGTGCCCAGGGCCGGCTCTGGACAGGTTTTGGGCGCCTCTCAGGCAAACTGTAAGCAAGCAAAGCTGCCATTGGTCTCCCTCTCTGGAATGCTGTTTAAATTGTCAGTGCAGGAGGTGCAGGGCTCTCTGCTGCAAGGAGTTAAAAGTGTCCATGCAAACCCTCTGTTCCTGCCGTGCATCCGAGCTCTCATTTGCTTGCGGGAGCGTGGCCCCTGTAATGTGCCGTAATGCCTTTCCATTGTGAAATAGCCAGGTTTTAATGTGCTTCTGTTTAAGTTCTGGTTTGACTTTTCCCTCAGGAAGGAGGCTAAAATTTTTCATTACAATATAGACAGTGCACTACACTTTGAATACAAATTTATCCATGTACAGAGTAATTTTTCTTGTGATTGTCTCTACCCTAGAGAAGTGTCTTTAATGAATTACATACAAATTGTGTAATTTAAGAAGTTAATTTGGTTTTCTGGTAACGCAGGACTAAAAACAGCCCTTCTAGAAAGATATGATTTCTCATCGGGGACCAGCAGCAGGAGCACTAAATTGATCCATGGTGGAGTGAGGTACCTCCAGAAGGCCATCATGAAGTTGGATTTCGAGCAGGTAATTGTTTGTGCTGGTTGTTAAGCAAGAATTGCTGGAGACACTTCCCCTGTCCCAATTAGATCTGGGTCTCCTTTTGATTTGTTTCACTGCTTGACTGTTGTATTCCACAGGCACTGTGCATAGGAGGTGTCTTGTCCCAGGGAGCTTTCCAGGCTGCTGCCTTGGCTCACTCCTGTGGTGGGCAGAGCAGTGGCCAGGCCTTGCAGGCTGTGGATTTGGAGCCAGGAAGGCAGAGACAGGGCTGGTCTCAGGATAAAAAGAGCTTTCTACTTGTCATGATCAGAATCTGGAGGAGTGGGTCCATCTGTCCTGTTCTGGAATGGGGAAAGAAAACACAGTAAAGGAATGATTTAACTTGGTATGAGGAAAAAATATTGTAAATGAGTGATTTATTTTGTAATAGGGAAAAAGATGGTAAGTAAGTGGTGTATTTTGGCAAGGGGAAAGGAAATACGGTAAATGATTATAGTGATTATATATAAATGCTTTTGTGTATTCCTGTGTGGGTGGAAGCCTGGCATTCCTGTTTTGAGGAATTGCATTGTCTTCCCATTGAAACCCCTCAAAGTATGTTTTAGTGGTTGTAGCACTGCTACAGAAATGGTGATTTTCAGGAGAAAATATCTAAACCATGCAGTCATCCAGATGTGGAAACCAACCCTTTTTGCCAAAGAAGAACTTCATGTTGGTGCACATTGGTTGGTTTGGAGAACCCCTCTGCATTTGCAGCTTGGAGTTAGGGTGGGATTTAACTGTGGGAATTGGCTTGGAAGCTGTGTTGTGGGACAAGTCCCAGCCCTCCCAAGTGCCTCCTGCCCATTGTTAGGGCAATGTGGCTTAATGTGCTTTATGTTCAGATCAAAAATTATCCAGCTGACCTGCCTAGACACCGAGATTAAATTACTGAAACTTAATTTTCTTGGGAATCGTTTTCCCTAACTTTTAAATTTTTCAGTGTATCTCAGTGTGTCTGTGGAAGGCAAGTAGGAATGGTGTGAGGTATTGGCTTTGCTGAGGTTCCCTGTTGAGTGGTGCCCGAGGATTCGGGGCTGGGTGAGGTGTGTCTGACGTGGCTCTCGTGTTTGCAGTACAGGATGGTGAAGGAGGCGCTGGAGGAGCGCGCGCACCTGCTGCAGAGCGCCCCACACCTCTCCGCTCCGCTGCCCATCATGCTGCCCATCTACAAGTAAGCTCTGCTCTGGCATCTCCCCTTTTCCCTGGATGCTGACAAGCAAACCACGTCCCTGGAGAAGTTTCCAGGTCCCCTTCCCAGGGCACCTCCCTGAGGCTGTCACCAGCTCTGCCCTCCAGCGGGTGAGCTGTTGCTGGGCTGTAGAAACAAAGCCTTGGATCTGCTTGGCTCGCTGCAGTGAGTAGCTCTGTTGAAAACAGTAGCAAACAATACCTCAGACCTGAATATTTACATTCCATTGTGGTACCACGAGCTTGTCTGAAGGGACAGGGTTAAACTGGTGTAACACAACACACCGGTACTCAACATGCTCTGTGCTGCAAGTACAGTGTGTGCATGTACTTCTGAATTCTTTGTTGTTTTCACTTCATGGGTATTTTTTTCCATGCAGGTGGTGGCAGCTGCCGTACTACTGGATTGGGATAAAGCTCTATGACCTGGTGGCAGGAAGCCAGTGCCTGAAGAGCAGTTATGTCCTCACCAAGTCGAGAGCCTTGGAGCTGTTCCCAATGCTGCGCAAGGACAAGCTGGTTGGAGCTATTGTCTACTACGATGGTACGGTGCTCTCTGTGCTCCCAGCGCTCGTGTCGTGCTGGGTTTGGGGGCAGGAACACAGGTATGAGGCTGTGGGTCCTGTACATTGAGTCTCTCAGGGGAGGAACAGCAGCTTGAAGAATTCAGCTTGCCTCTTAAACGTGAGTTTGGTAGGTAAATTATGTTTCTTGTGACAGTACTTACTGAAGGTAGGAGAAAATATATTGGTTTTCTTGGCTAGTGGGTGTAGTGCCATGTGAAAGTGTTCTGGTGATTCCCTACAACTTCCCAGCTGGGCATGGTGCTCTGCACTTTTTGGATTGAACACTTCTTCTAAGGAAGAAATCAGGAAAATCTGATGATTCCAGCAATGTCAAATGGGTTGCTGTAGCACTTCCACCGCGCAGAGAACTTCTAACCTGGATCTGGATGATCTGGTTGTGGTTCTCACTCTGGGTTAGAGGAGGCCTGGGTCAGTTAGGTTTCATATCACCAGTGGAATTAGTTGCTCTGCAAAAAGAGCATTCATGGTAATTGCAGTCAAAGACTAGAGATTGCCATAAGACATGAATGGTTGCTGTTAAAACCCCTTTAAAGAATGGGTTATTTAATTAGTAATTAAATAATTAATTGATAATTCCTGAAAGGAAGAGTTCCTAGAAGGTGGACTGGCTCTTCGTTGCAGCAGGCTGGTGTGCTGTCCCACCAGATTGGTGATGCTCCTTGTCCTCTTCCAGGACAGAAAGTTTGGTAAGGCTTCTTTGGAAATGGGGCAAGACAGATAGTATCAGAATATCCTGCTGTGTTCTGGATAAGGCAGCAAGCCGTGGATTCCTTGCAGGCTTGGAGCATCCCTCCAAAATAAATAACTACAACACTGATTTACGTCCCCAGTGGTACCGTTCTGGTTGGTTTGCACCTCAGGATGTGGTTTCTGACCTTTTGGCGGCACGAAGGTCTTTACACAAGATGGATTATAAAGGGAGTTCTTTCCCCTTTGTAGAACTGCATTTACACTTCATCAGCTCATCAAAGGGGCTTCTGGACTGGGAGGGACTCTGGAAACACTCTGGGCTGCAGTAGTGTTTGTGAGGCTTCTGGCTAAAGCTGATGTTGGTAATTGCAGGTGTCTCACCCAGAGCCCAGCAGCTGGAACAATTAAATGTTTGTATATATGTGTGGGAACACGCATGTGCAAGTTCTTCTTTGGGAGTAGGGTGGCATTTAAGGGATGGACTTGATTTTTACCTATCTCTGAGGGAGGCTGCATCTCGTCTGTCTTATTTTTAAGGTCTGGAGGAAATAGGGGGCTTTTAGAAGCAAAATTTGCTGTGGGATTATGTGGTGGGTTTTGTACCCTGTCCGAGGAGCTGCTGGAGGTACAGAGAAGGAATTCAGATTTCTTTATTCCCTATCCTAAGCTATCCCTTAGCCTGCTGTGAGGGATCCCAGGAGCATACCAGAAGAATGGAGTGGTTCTCTTAACTGTAATTACACTCCTCAGAAGAGCACTATAGCTTGAAATCTGTTTATAATCCAGTGAAGTTTTTTCTGATTAAATAAGTAATTTGGCTGTATCGTGGCTATTTACTACTCCCAGCGTTCCAAAGATGCACCTTTCAGGATAGCCTTAAAATTAGTCCTCAGGTTTCCTGGGTGGATAGTTATTTTGAACAGTGGTGCAATTTATCTAAAGATTGGGCTTTGATGGCAAACACCATAAGGGCAGGGCAGGGCTCTGAGTGACTGGGAGATGTCTCTGGAGGGTTTGATGCCATCCCAACAAAAGAAAACAAACCCAGACTCTGAATTTGGAAAGGAAGAAGTGTAAAATAGAAAAGAAAAAATATTGTATGTCTTGCCTTATTTTGGTTTTTTTAGAAGATACAGCTTAGTTATCCTCGGGTTTAGGCAGAATGTAAAGAACTGGCATTTTGCAGTGAAAAAAAAATTGAAAAACCTCTCAAAGCTCCACCAAACCTCAGTTTCCCTGAAGAATACAGTGGTTCTGAAAGACTAAAGGGTGAAATTTGTGTGTTGATAATACACATCTGGGTGCTTGGAGGCTGCACCTAATGCAGAAGACTTCCCAACTAGAATTTTAAATCAGCTCTTAACATGCCACATTTCGACTCAATTTTGCCTGCAGTGCCTCCTCTGCAGGTCAGCCCCTGGGCTGGGGGGACTCACGTGGGGTTGGAGCACATGAACTCTTTTATCCTGATCAGTTAACCTGTGTTCTGGCCACAGGAAATTTGTTTTAAGTCATAACGTTTCAGCAGGCACCCTTCAGGTCTTGTAAATCATTATACTTGAATTTTAATGATACACTTCACACCCTAAATCCAGAGGAGTGGAGGACAAAGGGAAAGGGAATTGAAGTGAAAGTAGAGAAGAGGGTAATAAATGGAATTAAGCTGCTTTTAGTACTTTCAGAATGATTAGTCATAAAATAGAGCATTAAATAACGACAAAGAAAAAAATACAAGTCCTAAAGTCAGTGCTGTCTTTCTCTTCTCTCTCCATCCCTTCTCTCTTCCCTAAACAGTTAATCAAGAAATTGGTCTTGACTGTTTCTGTAACTGCAGTTAAATGCAGTTTTCTCCTGTTCTCCTGCTTTCCTCTATTCCTGTCCATCATCCCTTGTCCCTGTAGTTGTTAATAACAGGGCTGTTTACAATCACAGATGTTGATGCCCAGCACCAAGGGAAGAATTAAAAACATTCCCCGTGTGAGGCGGTGTTTTCTGTGCTGGAGCCCCTGCCCAGCTGTGCCTCAGTGGTGGCCCTGTGCCTGTGCAGGGGGAAGCCCCGGAATGCTCTTTGTGTGGGTCTGTAATTGGTGATGGGGCCGGTGGCACGGCCAGCCATCCATAATTCATGAGGATGTTGTTCCCAAACGGCGCCGGGGTCGTCTTCATTACATCTTCTAAATTGTTTATACAGGCAAAAAAAAAATGGTACATTATAAATGTTGGAAGTACCAGCAAGAGCAAATCACAGCCTTGTCCAGAGGCTATTCCTGCTCTGCCTGAGCATCGGGAAGCCAGAGCATATGTTGGATGTTAGCCGGGGTGTACACAACGTGTCCTATTTATTCAAGGTTTGCTTTGAAGCCACAACTTACAAGTTTGTTTCTTAGGGGGACATGTCAGACTGCATTTAGCATTTGTTGGTATGAGGATACTCCTGAATAGCAAAGAGGCAACATTTTGGGGGGAGAAGGCGGCTGCTATGTGAGCAGGGATCTGTCAGATCCGCTTAGGGGGCTCGGGGACAACTGGGGAAGAGGCACAGTGGAGAGGCTGGGCTGGCTCAGCATCAGGGCAGGATTGTTCTAAAGCCCTTTAAATGGAAGAATTCATCTCCATCTGAATTATATAGAGTTCATTACTGTACAGACTGGGAGAGCCATTACAGCAGGGATCCAGCTGGCCAGTTTGTGTCAGTGGAAAGAGTTCAGCAATTCCAAGTAGACGGTTTTCTTTAAGATATGTAATTTTTCTATTTCTAGGTGCTTGCAGACATTTTTAACATGTTTTACCTTGCAAGATGAGCCTTTAGGTGTGTAAGAAAAATTAGCCTTTTGGAGTGTAAGTCACAAATTTAAGATTTTAGGATTTTGTTGACCTCGCTCTCTAAATTTCCAACTATTTCCTGAAAGCAGGAATTAACATATACTACTTCTTGGACTCCTCTACCATATCAGGGTATTGGGTTGTTTAATGTCTTGTTCTGCAAATTTCCAGTATATTTACTGGGATGTAAGTAGTTGGCTTTTATTTTTTTGCATTCTCAGTAGTTTTGTATACATTGTCTCCTGAAATATTTTAATATGGAGGTTATTTAAAGGTATAAAAAGCCTTGGCAGAGGATTTCACTTTCCCTGTTTACAGCAAACCCCTTGAGAAATCCTTCCCAGGCACACGTGCACACACAGACACACACAAAAATCAATGCAAAAGAGTAGGGCATTCATTAAGCTGTCAAAAATGGAATAAATGCTTTTTTTTATTTAGGCTCTTGTAGCTATTTTTCCTAGGATTCGAGTGTGTCCTGAATTATGAAATGTTATAGCTTTATAATTCATGTTTGACAAATGGATATTTGGAGATGTTGAGCTGTAATAGGGGTATTACAGACAACTCTGTGGCTGTTTTTCCTGCGCTGGGTATAAAAACTCTGACAGTTTGTCACTACAAAGACTTTCCGTAGGTGATTTTAAATACACAGATCCTCACGTTTCTCGGTGTTTCAGACCTGAGGCTGGAGGGGTGGGAGAAGCCTTGCAGGCACACTGACCGTGGGCATAACCAGGGAAATACTCTGTGCACGTTCCATAACCCCTTGTTTCCCAATATGATTCGTCCTGTGCTCCATAAAATGGAGCTGTCTGTGAAACCCTGGAGGAAACGGGCAGGACGTGAGGAATTCAGAGGGGAACGCTGCCTGCCTCTGGTGGGTTGTGGGCACGGTGAAACCCCACAGCAGCCAGAGTGTTCTCCTTGCTGGTGTTGGCACGACCACCAGTGGGGCTCCAGGACAGCCCCCGTTTCGCGGTTCCCTGGCACAGCCCCTGGGTCTGCGTTCGCCGGTGCTGCTGCTGAGTCCCGCCGTGCTCTACCCGTCAGAGCTGTTCTATCCTTCTCAAAAGGGATAAAATCAATGGCCTGAACCAGCTGCATCTTTAACCCAGTTTTGCCTCTGTCAGAGGTGCAGGCTCAGCCACGTCCCTGCAGGACGAGCCCTTTGCTCCCGACAAAAGGGCTGTGCGTCCGCAGCGCTCCCTTCCCTGCGCCGGAGGCTCCTTCCCAAAAGCAGGCGGATGGTAACTGCGTCCTGCTGTACCTGTAACAATTTAATTGTGTAAGTCAGCCCAGTCAAGCATCCCCAGCTCATGACTGGGAGACATGAAATTCATTGTCATTATTGTCCCTGTCATTTTGGATCATTATATCCTGCTGCAGAATTTTCCTCACTCCAGTGCTTTCGTACCTCCAGGAAGCAGGGATTATGGCTGAG